ATTGTATAGATCAGATTTCCATTTCATTGTTTAGTAATCATTTCCTGATATTCATAATTCAACAAAAATTACCATCCTGTTTGTGAATGAATGATAAACGATCGGGTTAGATTGAACAATAAGGGAATAATTGAAATCATCACCAAATATGATCATTTTAATAACAATACCAAATCTTGAGGAGAGATTTATTATGAATTGCCTGATTATTAATCACTCTTGTATTTTTAAAGAACAATATCAATTATGCAATTGAACCACAGTACAAAAACATACAAATCGATGAACAATATCGGATTTATAATTGTATTGTCAAAATAAATCTAATATAATAAGAATAATAAAAAAAAAAAAAATTCTGTTGAAATTTCATTCCCTTTTAATTGACTTGTCCCTTGATGATATTTCTTAAAGATTGAAACATGAAACGATGAACAATTAACGTAAGTTTGATACAATAAGGAAGTTGATGCCATTGTGATGAGAGGGGGGATACTATTGAATTTTTATTTTTGAGTCATGTAAGATTTCTATTTTCGTAACTGCATCAACCAGTGAAGGCTCATTAAGACAAAGGAACCAAGGAGGAGGTAGACAGGTAGAATAGAAGAAGAGGCGATGGGTTGAATAATTTAACAGGTAATTGTCCTACCACTCTGAGGTCGACAACAAAGAGTTAGATGTTGAATTTATTGTTCTCTTGATTGTTGATGTACTTGCACATAGTTGTAATGGTGATTTGATTTTGTTGGTTTCTTTTTTTTTATTATTATTTCTTCTTGTTCATGTTTGCTTTCATAAATACTAGTTTATCATAATGTAGGGTTATAATGCTCGTACATTGCATTGCATATGTAACTCGGTTTAATTATTGTTTTAGATATTTGTTATTAAATGATTACGTAATACTCAAAAATGAACAATGAAGTAATGATTCTAATGAGAGAAACAGGAAAGGAAGATAACTGATTGTTTAGCTTCCTATTATAATAATAACTGAAAGTAAAGTTGAAATTCCATGAAGGCTTTTGCAAAATAGTCAAATTTCCATTATCAGAAACAACTTCCCAAAGAGATGAAATTATGTACTTGCGTATACTTGTCAATGCCACTGAACAGTTCTTGAAATTATGTACGTTTATACATTTCTCTGTATAATAAGACAGTCTACATCGGGATGATGCCGAAAGTAACACGGAATTATGAACACTTTTTAAGAACACACACAAAACGTCTGTAGTGATACCTATTACCAAATATAAGCACAACAGTCTATGTCCGGTTTTACAAGTGCAATATTAATGGTGATGGTAGGTACTTGTCGAGGTGAAACCACTAAAGATGACTATTGGTACTGTGTTTCAAATGTACACTTCAATGTTAGGGCTTAACTTTTTATTGCTTTTAGTTTAGTTCAACAGATTTATTTTGTGATACTACCAAGCTGATTTGAACAATCAACAAAAAAAAAAAAATGATGAACGTCAGAAGAAAAACCCTTTCAATGGGAAAGAGATTTTGATTCCTGTATCGTACCTGTAAAGTCCAGTTGCAAAGGGATTTAGTAGATTAGCTTTCTTTTCGTTTTTAGTTTTGTCTAGGTCAACAAAAAGGAATATTCAACTTGAGATGAATTTTCAGAAAAAAAAAAAAATAAAATCCTGATCATTGTTATGAGTTAACAATAGCTTATTTAATTCATGTAGATGAATCTCCTCATCTTTAATTCCAACAGAAAAGCCTTGTTTGAAGGGATTTTATTTTGCTCTTTGGATTATTCAAGATCCAGTAGTTTCTTTTTAACCAATTTTTGAAATTCTCCTGATGCAATTCATAACAGTACTTAGACTCAACAATCATCAATGCATATATAAGCAATTGCATAATTTTGAATTTGATTCAAGGGTTGTCATTGCATTTTCATTTTGATTCAGCCCCCATTTCCCAAAGAGTAGCATTGCTTAGAAATACACAAAATATTGTTCAACCCTACATTTAAAAATAATATTTCTGCTTTCATGTTTAATTTCATCCAAGTAGACATAAAAGGTTACTCAAACACCAAGTCATTTATTACTAACACAAAAACTAAATAACAATTGGTAGTGGTCACTCTTGGAGTAACAAAAACTTTCAATTTTGCGTTTCTTAAAATCATAAACCATCGCAGATTGAATTTAAGATGTACAAGGGTTCTGTAATTGCAGTAAAAATAAAATATATATAAAAAATAAAAAATATTTTTGAAATAATGAAATTCAAATGAAATTTCATGATTCTACTCATTAACAATAAAACAAACTCATATCTTTCAATTGCAAGAAGGTAGGAAAAAGTGAAGTTCTTTCCGACTATTCCTTAAAAATTTGAAATTTGGGGGTTAGGATTGTTTTTTTTTTTTTTTTAGTTTAAACCATAGATTATGTAACCCTCCCTCTCTTATTCTTACCCTATTGTATTCATGTAGCAAGAACAAGAAAAGCAAATAAACAAAATCTTCTACTTCGTTTATCTCCCCCCTAAAAATTTGCCATAATTTACCATATCCATTTTATGTTGAATAGCAAACTACGGCTCGGAAATGGAATCAATTCAGAAAAAAGAATTTCATATCTGTTCGGAATTTAGCACCATCATAAGAAAAAGGAAATTTTACATTCACACCCAAAATTAGATGATACACCGATTAGTTTGTTCTATAAAATTAGTAGTCCGCGGAGTAAGGGAAATAACAACGTGTATTGCAAGTGGAGATAATTGCGGCGGTAGAAGTTGTTTAAATTCCCCCACCAGGGTCCCTCTTATCTCGTTGTAGTAATAAAATGTTCCCGCGTATTCTTGGCCCACTCACAACTAGTATAACTTATAGCTGATTATTGATAATTGTAAACCACGAATCTCAGGTTGTGAAACACTCCAGCTGAAATTATTCAATCAGTAATTTTGTTCAAATGCAATTTCATCATACTTGAGCCGTTTAATGTGTGGCCTTCCACCTCAATGTCATCGCCATTAATAACTGTCAATAAACACCACAGATGAACAAGAAAAGCATTCTCGTTCCAGTTGAGGGCTTTTTGTTGTTATTATCGTTGTTGTTTGTTCAATTTTTTTTTATATTTTTATTATTTCTTGTAGTATTGTACTTTTGGTGGGTTTACATATTTCATCAGGAACCAGAAATTTCAAGTTCAATGAGCTTGGTGGGTCATGGAGTTATATTCCCTTTCTTATTAGGATATATATATTGTACATGTATCTGTGAATTTACTTATCTATGGGTCCATGTATCTTGTCATGCATGAAAGTGATTATATATGAATTTGATTCCTGATATTGCTATTATTAGAAGTATTTGTTAATATTATCTTTGGTATTTAACCATTATTCTTGCTACTTTAAGAACTGCTTACATAATACATTTAAAATAAAGCAAGGGATTCAAACCGTTGCATTGCATTACATGTCTATTTCCTTATTTGTTCAACTTAGATTGTTCTCTTTTGATAACGAAGAACAGTTTTTAATAGAGAAAAACATAGAGAAAGAGCTAAACTAATAAACAGTCTATGTAATGCAAGTGGCGAATGAACAAGCAAGAAAAGAATGAATTCAAGAGTAGCAATAAATACAAATTTCATTCTCTATATGCAATGCTCAATGTGAGATCTTTATTGAGTAAGTAAACTTTCTCTCCCTCATCATCATCATCATGTCATCGATTACAAAAACAAAAAAATAAATGTATAAAATATTCTCCAAAAGATCTACAATACATGAATTCTATATATTAAAATAAAGATCTGCGGTCGATTTTCGATGAGACAACAGAGCGTAAAATTGGTTAAGTTTTGACGGATTTTGTCTTACTGTCGTTGGTTTTGGAATGACAAATGAAATTTTCAAAAAATAAAATACCTATATATACCATTTACAACTCCGTTATTGCTGTTAAGTTTCATTGAAGAATTAATGAAATAAACCGGGGGGAACTAAGAATCTCTTTATTTATAGTGGATCTCATCGACTAATTCTCTTTTAAAACAGTATACCATTAATAGTTCAATTGCTATGCAAAGTGTATTCGTCATTCTTAAGGTCTTTTTATATTGTAGACAAACTTCAACACACGAGGCTGAATTTGATGATTTCCAAAAAAAAAAAAAAAATAGCAAGGAGTACGTACCCTTTTTTCGTACAAAAGTTCCGACAATGTTCCCGAATTCCGTGAGGCTTGCTATAATATATTATGTATTCTTTGTTGAATTCTTTTATATTTTTTGGTTTAACAATTTATGCATTCTACAAATAGCAACAACTACATGGTACTGAAACTAATAATACCCTGAAGTAGCAATTCTTGTTTTTATTCTTTGAATTGAGAAATAAATTAGTAATATTATGTATCATCTAACTACGAACTAACAAATATACTAAATACCAACTCCAGCCTCCTCATTCTCCATTCATTATAATTAAGTAAACAATCAGCAGCTATAAAGTGATGCACCACGTATCATCTAGTTTTTCTTCTCTTTGGAAAGACAACCAGAACATTCTTCTGCAATAAATTTATCATATGATCCATCAGATTAGCAACACGAATACATATCAAGTTAAATTGCTTTTTATTTCATTCTTGCATCAGTGCTACAAAATTTGGGAAATTCATTTCATCAAGTTGAACAAAAATAAAAAAGAACAAAAAAAATATTAGTCGTGTGCAAAGGGTCAATGAACCCTTACAGGGTTTTTGTTATTTTTTTTTGTTTTTTTCGATCTTGTATTTTATTGGTTCATACACGAAATGAAACAAAAGTCACGTGTTTGTGATTAGTCACGTGAAATAGCATCTTTAAATCCGTCTTTTTCGTTTCATTGGACACACACACAAACAGCGATAAAAAAAAACCTTAGATTTCAACAATAATAATTGACTTTGATAGTACATTGCTTTTCCTCTGCCCCAACAGCAACATATTCATACATATTCATACAAGATGTTATCGAGAACATTTAAAAGAACAATCTCAATAACCGCTAATAAACCAATCAAACTTCCATTTATTCCATTGGTTAGTGAGACTGGTTTTCCTGGGGCAATTGGTAATACTCCACTTTTGAAATTACCTAGAATTTCAGAATCTATTGGTCGTAATATCTATGCCAAGGGAGAATTCATGAATCCAGGTGGATCTATTAAAGATAGAGCAGCATTGTATATTATCAAAGATGCAGAAGAAAAAGGATTAATTAAACCTGGTGGTACTATTGTAGAAGGAACTGCAGGTAATACAGGTATTGGATTAGCTCATGTTTGTAGAGCAAGAGGTTATAAATGTGTCATCTACATGCCAAACACTCAAAGTAAAAACAAAATTGAAACTTTAAGATTATTAGGTGCTGAAGTTTATCCTGTTCCTGCTGTTGCATTCACTGATCCAGAAAATTACAATCATCAGGCTAAAAGACATGCAGAGAGTTTGGATAATGCTGTTTGGACTAATCAATTTGATAATGTTGCCAACAGACAAGCTCATATTGAAACCACCGGACCGGAAATTTGGGCTCAATTGGATGGTAAAGTTGATGCATTCACCTGTTCAACAGGTACTGGTGGTACATTTGCTGGTACTAGTAGATATTTGAAAGATATCTCCAATGGTAAAGTTAAAGCTGTTTTAGCTGATCCTCCAGGTTCAGTTTTGTACTCATATATCAAATCCAATGGTAAAGAAATGATCAGAGGTGGATCTTCATTCACTGAAGGTATTGGACAAGGAAGAGTCACTGATAATTTGAAATCAGATATTGCAATTATCGACGACGCATTGAAAATTCCTGATGAAGAATCAATTGCCATGATTTATAGATTGTTGGATCAAGAAGGGTTATATGTTGGTGGTACTGGTGCATTGAATGTTGTTGCAGCTGTTGAAGTTGCCAAGACCTTACCAGAAAACAGTAATGTCGTCACTATATTAGCTGATTCTGCTCATAAATATGCTGATAGAATCTTTTCTAAATCATGGTTAGAACAAAAGGGATTGTATGATGCTATACCAAATCATTTGAAGAAATATGCTGTATTGGATTAAGAGTCGTGTATACGTGTACGAAATATAAGTTCTGAAAAAGTAAAGAAAAAAATTTTTCGTTTTCATTTTTTCATTTTTTTTTTCGTTTTGGTTGTAAGAAAAATTTCCAACTCGCCCACTCTCACTTACTCACTCACAAGATCAATATAAATTTTTTTTTAGTCTTGATCATCACGGAGACAACATTGTCATTGATACCCAATCTTCATTCATATTGATCCCTGTATTCACTCACTCACTCATTCATTGATCATTATAATCACCACAGCCTTCATCCACACTTTGTCGTATTATCGCATCTAATATCTATAGTTTAATTTTTACTTTATTGCATCGTGTTGTTACTCAGAATAATATAGCATCAAATTTCAGACCATCTTTTTTTTTTTGTTTGACAACCACATCACAGACAACACTAATATTAAATAAAAAAGAAAACGAGTTACGTCTCCCTATTTAATACATGGAACAACAAATACATCAAGCTGTGGAGATAGCACTTAGTGGGACAGCTGATCCTTCATTGAAGACTCAAGCTTTTGATTTTATTAACCAAATCAAATCTACTCCCGAAGGTTATAAATCATGTGTAGAAATCTTGGTCAAATCATCTACTACCACCATCAATGAGGGTCTTAAATTCTTCATCTACCAAGTCATTGATGAGAATATCGAGCTACAACTAGCTATTAAGTCAGATGAGCAATTGTACACTTTAAATCAACAAGTTTTTAAAATCTTGAATGATTATATTAATTCAAACGTACGAGATCCTACACATTTAAGAAACAAATTTGCACAGATTTTTGGTAAATTATTTTGTCGAGTTTATTTAAATATTTATCCAAATTTCATTAAAGATTTGTTTGTTTTAATAGATGGAAACAATCAACTAGCTGTAGATTATTATACCAGAATTTTACTTGCCATTCATCTGGAAATTGGCGACAAATATATCACTAGGTCCCAAGAAATTCAAGAAAGAAACAATTTATTAAAAGATGGTATCCGTGTTAATGATATGCAACAGTTGGTTAATAGTTGGATCAAAATCTTGTCAGATCATTCAAATTCCGATGAAATCTTGGATAATACTTTAACTATCGTTGGTCAATACGTCAATTGGATGGATATTAGCTTGTTTATTTCTCCTGGATTTATCAATTCCATTTTTGGATACTTAACCAGAGAACAACAAAGAAACACCACTTGTGAAACTTTGGTTGATATCATTGCGAAAAAAACGCCGCCATCAAATAAATTGGAATTGATTGCTATGTTGAACTTGACCGATATCATTGGTTCTCTTGATTTAACTGATGATATCGAGTTTCTGGAATACGTGTGCAAATTATTGAACCAAATTGGTCAAGAATTGTTAATTGTATTGGAAAACGAACCAAATTTGATTCAACAAGTCAATGGACAATTGTTTAAATTATGGCCATCCATTTTCACATTCTTGAGTCATGACTATGATGATGTTTCTCAACACGTTTTCCCATTCATTCAACAATTCTTGGGAATTAGTAAGAAGCATCGTGATTTGTATAATATGGAATTGATGTCAACTTTATTGAATAAAATTATCTTGAAAATGAAATACGACGAAGATGACGATGGAGTACTGGATGAAGATGCCCATGCACAATTTTTGGAATTCAGAAGTAGATTGAAGATTTTCCATGATTCTATTGCTGTATTGGAACCTGATTTATACTTGAATGCCATTCCAATAGTGATCAATGAATCTATCTTTGATAACAGCAACCATACCAATTGGAGAAAGATCGAATTGGGTTTGTATGAATTGAACAATTTTTCTGATAGCATTAGAATGAATGTTTTCCAAATTCCTAAAAAAGAAATTGATCAAAGTAAACCATATATGATTTTTCAGGAATTTTTAATCAAATTGATCAATGCCGATTTTATTTTAAAAATCAATCATCCAGAAATCCAATCGGGTTTCTTTGAATTGGTTGTCAAGCATTATAATTTTTTATCTAATAAAGATGACTTGATTATTCGTATCCTAGAAATCTTCACCAGCCCATTGGGTTTGTTTAATGAATTTGAGAAAGTTCGATTGAGAAGTTGGTACTTGTTTTTCAGATTCATGAAGTTAACTAAGCCAAAATTGAACAACGAAGCTTTGATAGAGTCGATTGTGGTCAAGTTACAACCTTTGTTGGTGGTTAAAGCCGAGTTGCCAACACGAGACGAAGATGACGATGTTGTTGATAACGGGAACTTTAACAATCAACAATATCTTTTTGAAACTATGGGTTTGTTAATCTCATTAATTCCTGAAGAAATGGCGGAGTTGAAACTGAAGTTGATTGATTTAATATTTCAACCTCTTTTCAGTGATTTGGAAAAATGTATTTCCATTTCAGAACCACAGCGTGATGCTCTTGTTGTTTTACAAGCACATCATTCATTAATGGCCCTTGGTACAGTTGTTAGAGGCTATGATTATGAAAATGGGTTGAAGTTCTCCGTCGAAGTTGTCGATAAAATCAATAACGCAGCTCAAGTTGTGTTGATAACATTAGAAAATTTCCCGAAACATGAAATCATCAGAGATGCTGCCAGATTTGCATTTGCCAGATTTATCCCTATTTTCAAGAACGGTTCAGTTATCAGTTCTCATTTAACTAAATTGATCACTGTTATCTGGTCGGCACCTAATTTAAAAATCAGTGAATTAAGTGACTTTTTAAGTTTCTTGGGACAAATTGTGCATAATTATCAAAAGGACGAAAATATTTATCAGTTATTAAACAATTTTGTAACTCCATTATTTCAAAAAGTTTTTGAAACTTTATCTAATCCAGTTATAGAAGATGAAAGTTTACGACCAGATATCCTTAGAGATAAAAATACTTTAAAAAAATCCTTGGTTAATTTTATCAGTTCATTAGTTTTAAATCATTGCTCAAGTTTATTAATAACAGAAACCAACAGACAAGAGTTACCAGAAGTGATGAACAAAATATTTGATTATTCAATGGATTTAAGTGATCCAACAACTAGTAGGGCTGCAGTTACTCAAATCACCAATTTTGTAAATATTTTTGGTAATGGTGGAAAATTAGAGGATAATGAGGATAAATATTCAACTGTTTTGCCACCAGTAATTGGCATCGATACATTTTTGATGGATAAAGCTATTAATCTATCATTTGTTTTACCATTCAACAATGCAGAATTTAACTTAAATGATGCTCAATATAGATTGATTGCCCAAGAATTGGCAATTTTATTGAAGTCATTTGAATTGAAGAATTCTGATGAAGTGATTAAGAATTTGGGTAATTATTTGATCAACATGGGAATGTCACAAGAGTTGTGTAATGATTTCTGTTCAAATTTGAAAATTTTACAAATGAAGGATTTTAAAAAATATTTTGTTACTTTTGTATCAAACATGAAAGGTAAGTAATGGCTGTGTATAATTTTATTCTATTACCCTTTGTAAGTAACAACTAATATAAATGACTACCACGTATATTATTTAATGAAAAAAGTGATGATCGGTCAAGTTGTCACTTCATATTGATCCATCTTGATATATCTATCACCAACCGTCTTCTCAATTGAGATATTCCTGTGCGTAAATACACGACTTAGTAGTATTCTCATCTCATCAACAGATTTTCTTTTTTTTTTTTTCTAAAATGAATAAGGAACTGAAATTTTTTTTTTTTCCTAGTATAATTTATAAGAATCCCAATTGGTTTTTTTACAACTTCAACTACCAGTTAAAAATATGCCTACAAATAAAGAAGGAGAGGAAGTTATAATACCTCCTAAAGATGAAGAAGAATTACTATTAGAGAAATATGTATTTGGGGATGCATCAGGGTTTGAAAACAATTTGAAAAAATTAGATAATTTATATGATTATTCAGATGAGGATGAAGATAATGATGATGATAGAGATGGAAAATCTGATGAAGATGGAGAATCTGATGGAGACGAATTACAAGATGATGATTTATTTTTCATTGATGATGGAACTGAACCAAATAATGAAGATAATATGGATATTGATAGTGAGGAAGAAGAAAGAGATGAGGAAGAGGAAGATGAAGAAGATAGTGATGAAGAAAATGCTTGGGAAGATAGTGATGATGAAAGATTAAATATATCTTTATTATCATCTGATAAATTAAAGAAATTAAGAAAAACTCCTCAAGATTCAGTTATTTCAGGGAAATCATATATTATTAGATTAAGATCTCAATTTGAAAAAATTTATCCCCGTCCTCAATGGATAGAAGATATAGAAGATCAAGAAGAAAACTTTAACGACGATGATGATGAGGAGGAGGATAATGAAAATGAAGAAGTGAGTGATGAACAAAATCTTACTAATCAATCAAGTTCATTATTGAATGTATTATCAAAAACTGAAAAATTCACAATTACAAAACAATTGAAATTAATTTCACCAAATAAAATATCAATAACAAGATTAAAAAATGCAAATTTCAAAAAAAGTTCTAAATCAAGTATTCAATCAATGTCATTTCATCCTCAATTTCCAATATTATCAATTGCAGGATTTGATAAAACAATTCGATTTTATCAAATTGATGGTAAATCAAATAATTTCATAACTTCATATTTTTTAAAAAATTGTCCAATTATGAAAATTCAATTTTCACCAAATTTAAATAATGTTTTATTTTCAAGTGGTAGAAGAAAATATATGAATAAAATTAATTTAAATAATGGAGAAGTTGAAAAAATTAATCGATTATATGGACATGAACAAACTCAAAAATCATTTGAATATTTTAAAATTTCTTCATCAGGTAAATTCATTGGATTAACTGGTAATAATGGTTGGTGTAATTTACTTAATGGTAAAACAGGTCAATGGATTCATGGATTTAAAATTGAAGGAACAATAATTGATTTTGAATTTTCAAATGATGAATCATTTATAATGATTATAAATACTGCTGGTGAAGTATGGGAATTTGAATTACCAGATAAATTAACTAATAAATCACCAAATAAAATCATTCGTAAATGGTATGATGAAGGTGGAGTTGGTATAACAAAATTAAAAATCGGTGGTAAAAATAATCGTTTCATTGCTATCGGTAATAATAATGGTATTGTTAATATTTATGATCGAAATACATTCTTGAAAGATACAGTACGTCCAAAACCAATTAAAACTGTTGAAAATTTGGTTACTTCAATTTCAACTTTAATGTTTAATCATGATGGACAATTATTATGTATTGCCTCAAGAGCTAAACGTGATGCATTAAGATTGGTTCATTTACCTTCTGGTTCAGTTTATAATAATTGGCCAACCAGTGGTACTCCATTAGGTAAAGTTACTTGTGTTGAATTCTCTCCAAATAATGAAATGTTGGCCATTGGTAATCAAGCAGGTAAAGTTACATTATGGAGATTAAATCATTACTAAGAAACTGGGCGTATAAGTTTTGTTTTTAATAGATAGAATACAGATGTAAATAAATAGTAATTGATGGAAGTAATAAACATACAAAATTGTAACAATAAAGTTGAATATATTGATGGTTGTTAAACATATATATATATATGTACTGAGATAACAACAAATTAGATAAAACCATAAACAACAATACTATGACCAAAATCAAAAAGTATTAACAATAAAAAATATGTATAAAAGAAAAATAGAAAAAGAAAAGAAAGTATACCAAATGCTATCATGTAAAACCAAAGAAAGAAATAGGTATACTCTTTTTCTTGCTGAACCAGATCTATCAATAAAAAAAAGTGAATATAAAACAAATGAGTTTTTTAAACAAACTAACAAAAAAAATCACTAAAATATTGTCATTTCTGACTTGTGAGAGCCAAAGTTCACTTAATTAGAAGCAGCTAACGGATCTCTCTTTTTCCATTCTAAAATAACATCGTCCTTAGGGAAAATAGTAGCGAAAACTTTGATTTCTTCAGATAATGCAGTTTTGTGATGAATGATATCAGAGTTCATGACAAATTTACCCAACATACCAGTAAACAACATCATGACATAGTTCTTACCCAAACAAACGTGTGGACCAGTACCGAAGACCAACCAGTTACGTTTGTACATATCACCAGAAGCAGTGGCCCATCTTTCTGGAATGAAAGAATCTGGTTCATCATAAACTTCAGGATCATGTAAAGCAGGGTACAAAGTTGGGATAAGCATAGAACCCTTTGGAGCAGTGTATTTTTCAGTAACTGGGAAAGCTTTCTTAACAACATATGGAACCATCAAGACTGGTGGACGGTATCTCAAAGATTCTTTAACAACATCATTGGTGTAAGTCATTTCATTAATCAAATCCAAGGACAATTTAACAGATGGGTCATTGTTTCTAACTCTCAATTGTTCTTCTCTAATCTTGGCAACAACATCTGGTCTGTCGGCGACAATTTGGAATAACCAACAAGCCAAAGAAGAAGAGGCATCTTGAGAAGCAAACAAGAAAGTGAAAATGGCTTCGGAAATTTCACGGTTGGAGAATTCTCTAATCAATAATTTGGAATCTGGATCATCAGAGTGTTTTTCTTTAGCTTCTTTCATCAAGTAAATCCATTCATCCATAACACAACCTGGAGTACCATTATTTTCATTAATGTGTTTCTTGGACATAGCAGCACAATTTTCAAAAATCTTCATGGTATCATCAGCAATCTTCTTACCGTACCAAGTTTTAGTGTAAGGAATAATGATTGGGAAATTGACCAATTCCAAAGCAGCAGTGACTCTGTAATAGTTATCAGCAACTAAAGCAATTTGATCTTCAGTGATGTAATCCCCACAGAAAGTTCTCAAAGATAAAGCACACAACAATTCTCTAAATTCTGGGAAGAATTCACGTGGACCGTCGTACTTACAGAATCTATCTAAATAAATATCCATGTATTTTTCTTGAACTGGAATGTAAATTTCCAAAGCTCTTTGGGAGAATAAACCATTCAAAGAACGACGGTAATCAGTATGTGCTTTACCGTCTAAGAAAACCCAATTTGAAGGTCTTAAAATTTTAACAGCAACATCAACAACACAAGGTTTAACGTATTTTGGAGATGCTAAAATCTTTCTAGCTAAATCACGAGAAGAAGCAATAACAACGAATTTATGGAAAATGGAAACACAACTCAATTCACCAGAATCCCATTTAGCTTTATATTCTTCGAATTTTGGATCTAAAGATTCCAAGAATGGACCAATAATTGGCCAAAATTTGAATTTTGGACCAGCAATTGAACCTTTATTGATTTGATACAGGATTTGATCATAAGTCAAAATGAGAATGATTGAGGTTAAAATGATTTGTAACCATGAAGCTTGTTGATAAGTTGAATATAAACTATCGATGATATATTTTGTACTCAAATATGTAGTAGCATTATCACTAATACTATCCACAACTGGAGAAGTAGTATTGACACTCATTGTGTTTATAATGGGAGTATGGTTCAATCAAAATCAAGAAGGAAGAAAGAAAGGTGAATATAATTTTTATATTTTTTTTTTTTTGTTTTAAATTGTCTTGTTTTGAATATTTGTGATTTATTTTAATTTCTAAATTTTTTTTTTTTTTTAGTTTTTTGTTTTTTGCTATACACGGGATATGTTGAGAAGTTCAAAGACAAAGAAGATGATTATGAACAAGAAGATGAAGAGGGAAGAAATTTTTAGAAACCTTAGTTTTCCTAAATAGCCTATACGACATGAAGGAATGAGTGATGTAGTAGTAACTAGATAACGAGATACTCTCATTGGTCATTGTCATAAGAATGACCCTGGGCTGAAGGACCAAATTACAGCGCAGTTCATGATCAAGATGAGATATGTCTGCTGAAGATTAAAATCCATCTGTACGGTAATCAGTTGATTGAAATTTATCAAATCATCGTACGGTTAATTAGACTTACAGGTTTCTTTCGTTATACGCTGTGGCTCTAACAAAAAAACAGAAAAGAAGAAGATGGTGGTAGCATCGACGCAGCAGCAAGGGTGGTGGCCGTGGTAGTGGTTGACGCGGGTCGACAAATAAAAATAGAATTTTATACGATCGTTCCTCAAAAATTTAATTTTTTTTGCTCGCACCGCAAAAATTTTTTTTACATTGTTTAATTGGTTTTGTGCCATTTCGGGTAAAATGAAAAGAATTTCTTTTTTTTTTTTTTTATCTTTGGATTATTCCAGATTTAACCGATTTATCCTTTTTTTACGTGTTTTGTACGTATATACACGATACTACAGCGTGATTGGTTGTCACGTGATTTACCCATAAAATAACTAATATAAAAGAGTTTATAAATGGTCTAAAATTGTTTAAGAAATAGCAGAGTAAACAGATCATTGATTTTGTAGTATAATAACAGGAGCGTATGTGGAAATTGTCGTGTTCTTGATTCTCCATGAAAATTGATTTTTCTTGAAAAGTATATACAAAAAAGTAAAGAAAATCCCAAAAGATAATATGAATTAATTCTGTGTTAATAATCACATACTGCAGTGGTCAACAATAGTGTAACTTTAGTAGCATTTGATGGAGGGGATTGAAGCTTATTATCGCTATAGAAGTTGTCTCTCAAATTAATGTAGCACAACAGACCTCGCGAAATGCACGCATGATGATTGGTTTACACATTCTGTATCCAGCACATCGCATTAGATTAAATTAAATAGAACTGGGTCTTTACATTAGTATAACTGTTATCAACAGCACATAGAGTTCTTGTCTCGGAATCTTGTTGCGAAACTCCTTGTGCACATAATAGAACCAGCCGCGCTTCATTTCTCAATTAGGCAGTCAATATGCTAAATTTTTTCTTTGTTATGGCGTTTATAAACCTCGACGCGTAAGCGCGGATATATGTTTCCGTTCACAAATGGTATAGAAGTGGAGATGCACCCAAATGATAATACATGATGCAAAGTGTTAAACATTACAGGCACAACACTAAATGCAATAGAAGTTTTCTCTTAATTGTAAATCTTTGGCTTATAGGATTTCCTTTTTGTTTTAAAAAAAGAAATCTCTCTAGCCGCCCTCTTAATTTAGATCGGTTCGAATTTCTAAGCCTAGCAATTGTGACTTTTCCTATCATATGAAGTTTAAAAAAAATTTAAAATCATGACAGATCTACAAAATAACAATAAGATGAGTCTAATATAAAACTGTCCTTAAATTTCTTGAATTTATAAAATAAAAAAGAAAAAATTTGTACTTTTTTTATAAGGTATACCCAAACGTATCAATAACTATTCCTATACCACAAAATGCCTGAAGCTATTACTTTTGAATCATTCTTAACCAAAGACCCACTTGATAACTATGAAGATCACGAGAAATACACCAAAGAATGGTTACCTAAAGTCGAAAAATATAGATCTGATTTGGAAAAAGCCACACCTAAGGAACTCACTGTTGAATTGCCAAAACCAATTGACGAGTTGATCGAAGATCAGTTCAATGCTGTGGATTATCTCTACTCTAAGAAATTGTTAACTCCTGAGGAGTTTGCAATTACCGATTTACCAACCACTGAATTGGCAAAGAAGATTGCCCTGGGAGAGTTAACATCTATTGAAGTGTTTAAAGCTTATGCTCATAGAGCAATTATCTGTCATCAATTTACCAATTGTGGTATGGAAATATTCATTGACGAGGGTTTGAAGCAAGCTGAAGAAAGAGATAAATATTTCAAAGATACCGGTAAGACTGTTGGGCCATTACATGGTATTCCTATATCCCTTAAGGAACATTTAGGATACAAGGATAAAATCACTCATGCCAGTTATGTATCACGTCTCGACAATATAACCAAAGATCATTGTGTTACTACTCAAATTTTAGAAAACTTAGGTGCTGTATTTTATATTCGTACCAATGAACCACAAACTTTGATGCATACTGATAGTAACAACAATATTACTGGACTTACCAAGAATCCATTCAATTTATTATTATCGTCAGGTGGTTCATCATCTGGTGAAGGTGCACTTATTGCCTTTGGTGGTTCTTCACTTGGTGTAGGTACTGATATTGGGGGTTCAATTCGTATTCCAGCTGCATTCTCAGGTTGTTTGGGATTACGTCCAACTGCAAATAGAATCTCTCTTGCTGGATGTGAAAGTCCAGCTTGTGGTCAAGAAAGTGTAATGCCAGTCATTGGGCCAATGGGACGTTCCGTTGAAGATATTGAATTATGGATGAAAAGTTACATCAATATTGGGAAACCTTGGAATTTAGATCCAACTTTGGTTAGAATGGAGTGGCGTGAAGTTGAAGTTCCTAAAGTGAATGATTTGACTATTGCAGTCATTAGAGATGATGGATTGGTTAGAGTTTCTCCGCCAGTTAGACGTGCATTAGATGTAGTTGTCAACAAGTTAAAAGATGCAGGCGTTAAAGTAATTGAATTCACTCCACCAAATACCGAATTGGCATACGAAACAATCAATAAGATGTATAATGCAGATGGTAATGTTTCTCAAAAGGGATACTTGGCAGAATCAGGGGAACCATTGACTAAATTGACTAAATGGAGTTTAAATTTTGGCACGGGTGAACAACCACTTAGTGTATTGGAGAATAGACGTTTAAATGTCATCAGAGATCAATTAAGAGCTGAATATAATGAATATTTGATGAATAATAAAATTGATTTTATTCTCAGTCCTTCATATAATAATGTTGCTCCACACAGTGAAGCAGGTTTTAATTGGTCTTATACCACCCTTTTCAATATTCTTGATTTACCAACTTTAGTCTTCCAAACTGGTATTTACCAAGATCCAAAAGTTGATAAATGGACTGAAGAAGACTTACAATACAAATATAGATCACCATTAGAACAATTTGAAAATGAAAACTATGACCCAGAAAAATTCAAAGGAGCTCCAGTTGGTTTGCAATTATCTGGTAGAAGATACTTTGATGAGGAGGTTTTAGCCGCTGGGAAGGCTATTGTTGACTTGTTGGGTGTTGATTTATATAGTCATTAGGTAAGGATCATAGAGATGGGAAATAAAAAAACCCCCTTTCCTGATGAATGATCCCCCTTCTAGTTTTACGAGAATATCAGTAATCAGCTGGGGGCACATTTTTCTTTACATACTTGTATAGTGGTTACTAATCCCGTTAATCGGTGTTATTTCTAAGTATTTATAAATATTAGGGCTTTAATTGATAAAGACTTCAAATATAACTTGTGACAAACCCGGTATTCGGCCGAGTATCGCACATAAGCCACTGTATTGTCCGGAATAGGAATAAATCCGATCGGGATAATTTCCATTTCCTTCAATTTATTCTTTCTTTTTTTTTTTTTCTAGATGTATATATTCGTTGGAGCAACTAAAAATAGGACGACGAGTACAGAGCCAGAGATCTACACAACGATGAATTAGTATTCTATGGCATTAATGATTTTAGCTACAGAACTAAAAAAATTTTCTCCAACCTGTCTCCTCTTTAGAAAATTTGTGGGAAATTTTTTTTCGACTAGTTGGGTGTTTGACATACAACCAATTAGTATTGTTGTGTAAATTGAAAAGGCATTGTAGAATAATGTTGAATATCGTTGGAGTTATCACCATATCTTCTGGTGGTACTAAATCCGTTGACCCAAAATATTTAAGAAATGATGCGCTGCCTGTTTCATACAGAATCATAATAATGCCCAACTGGTAGCACAAATGGCCCCATCCCAACCCAACTCCCCGAATTGTCTGCACGGAAAAAACTCTGTTAATTCCGTTGAAGAGCAAAAAAAAAAAGAAAAAAAAAGTATATAAGATGGAGCAAACGATTTCTCTTTTTTTTTAAAAAATTTTACATTTTAAGAAAGATTTAGGGGTTTTTTTTTTCACAGCTATTTTTTTTTTGATTCATAACCAAGCCAGTGTTTAGTTATTTCTTGTGTACCCTTGGAAAAGAATTGCTTATAATACTGGAATATTCTTTTATATCATTGCATTTTAATAAACTTTTCTTTTTTTAAATAATACCCCCCCAAAGAAATACCCAAAAATGAGTAATACCCCACCAGAAACTACGGCTGAAACATTTTCAAATTTAGAATCAACTAGTGAACTAGCTCCTAGAACATCTGAAGTCAATGCCAAGGAGTATAATCAGCCTGTGGATTCATCGGAGAATAGCTCCCAATCCATTACAGATGAAGTTACAAGTTTTACTCCACAACATATGAAAGACTATGAAAATGGTAATGACTTTGAACATGATGATGAATTAAGTAGAATAGAATCCAATGTTGAATTATCTAGAAGAGCCACTAGAAGTCTTTTAAATACTGAAGAATTATTACGTACTGCAACCCAATCAAGTAAACCATTACCACCTATGGGAGGAGGTAAACCATATCCGCCAGCATTACCATCCAGAGATCCATATATGATTGCATTTGATGGACCTGATGATCCTGGCCATCCTCATAATTATCCACTTTATAAAAAAATGATTTATTGTGCTTCTGTTGGTATGTCTGCATTTTCTGTTTCAGTCGGATCTGCCATGTTTGCTGCTTCTGCTACTGAATTGATGGAGATTTTTCATATTGGATGGACTGTTGCAACTTTAACTACTTCCTTGTATGTTTTTGGTTTTGCTGCTGGTCCAATTATCTATGGTCCTTTGAGTGAATTGTTTGGTAGAAAATTTATTATGGTTCCTTCTTGTTTAGGTTATGTTTGTTTCTCATTTGCGGTTGCTACTGCCAAAGATCTTCAAACTATTATGATTTGTCGTTTCTTTTGTGGGTTTATTGGTGCTGCCCCATTAGTTGTTGCGCCTGCTGTTATGGCTGATATGTTTAATAATCGAACCAGAGGTACTGCTATCACCATCTTTGCCATGTTGTTATTTGGTGGACCTATGCTTGCTCCTATCTTTGGTGGCTTCACTGTTAAGAACTCTGCTTTAGGTTGGAGATGGACTGCTTATTTCTGTGGTATCATTGGTTCATTGGCTTTAGCAATGAATACATTCTTGTTGGAAGAAACACACCATCCTTTGGTTTTGGTTCGTCGTGCTGAAGAATTAAGAAGAAGAACAGGTAACTGGGGTATCTATGCTCCTCATGAAGAAGTTAAGTTGAGTTTGAAGGAAATTGTTGAAAATAATGTTTCTAGACCTATTAAAATGTTGTTCACTGAACCAATTTTGTTATTGATCAGTATTTACAACAGTTTTATTTATGGTATGTTGTACCTTTTCCTTACTGCTATCCCATTGGTGTTTATTGGTCGTTACCATTTTGCTGCTGGTGTTGGTGAATTACCATATATTTCCATGTTGATTGGTGTTTTCCTTGGTGGATTGACCATTATTCTTTTTGAAAGAAGATACATCAGTGCTATGGAGAAGAATGGAGGCAAAATGATTCCAGAAATGAGACTTGAACCAATGATTGTAGGTGCATTTACTTTTGTTATTGGTATTTTCTGGTTAGGTTGGACTGGTGATTATCCAGAACATGTTCATTGGATTGTACCAGTTATTGGTGCTGCATTTGTTGGACATGGATTAATGGCAATTTTCCTTCCAAGTTTTAATTATATTATTGATTGTTATTTATTATATGCTGCTACTGCATTGGCTGGTAATACTTTTATTAGATCTTCATTTGGTGCTGCTTTCCCATTATTTGCTCGTCAAATGTTCACTAACTTGACCATTAAATGGGCTGCCACTTTATTGGGCTGTTTTGGTATTCTTATGATCCCAGTTCCATTTGTTTTCTACATTTATGGTAAGAGACTTCGTCATAAATCCAAATACGCCTTTGTCTTGGAATAATTGCATCTCCTGCCCCCTGCCTCAGCCTTAGCCTTCGTGCACCCCCAAAAAATAATTCTAATATTTTAGATCCATACGTATTTATTATTTAATAGACAAAACAGTTAATGTAATTTTTGTTTTTACGACTTTTGTCTTCTTGACAGTATTAATTATTTCAGAAATTTGTGTATAAAAATAATGTAAACTATTGTTACATATCTATCTAATGACTATATAAATCAACACCCAACAAGTCAACAATAGCCTTACCAGCGGCTAAAACCTCCTCATCAAAGTATCTTCTACCAGATAATTGCAAACCAACTGGAGCCCCTTTGAATTTTTCGGGGTCATAGTTTTCATTTTCAAATTGTTCTAATGGTGATCTATACTTGTATTGTAAGTCTTCTTCAGTCCATTTGTCAACTTTTGGATCTTGGTAAATACCAGTTTGGAAAGCTAAAGTTGGTAAATCAAGAATATTGAAAAGTGCAGTGTATGACCAGTTGAAAACCCCTTCACTATGTGGAGCAACATTATTATAAGTTGGTGATAATATCATATCAACATTATTTTCAACAAAGAATTGGTTATACTCATCCCTTAATGAATCTCTATTTATATTCAAGACTCTATTAGCAGCAACACCAATATCTTTCGATCCTTCACCAAAATTCAAATTCCATTTGGTCAATTTTTTTAATGGTTCACCTGAAGTTGACAACAATTCACGTTGTTTGAAATTACCATCACAATTATACATCTTGTTAACTGTTTCAAAGGCCAATTCGGTATTTGGGGGAGTGAATTCAATAATTTTGGCACCAGCATCTTTCAACTTGTTGACAACTTCATCTAATGCACGTCTAATAGGTGGAGAAACTCTAACCAATCCGTCATCTCTAATGACTGCAATGGTCAAATCATTAACAGCAGGAGTTTTAACTTCACGCCATGGCAAAGGAATAATCCAATTATCATAATCCCAAGGTTTCCCATCATTTATATAAGTTTTCATCCACAAGTCTAAATCTTCAATACTTCTACCTAATGGACCAACAACAGCAGGAACAGATTCTTGACCTGCACCACCACTAATTCCACCTTTTGTAGAAATACGTCTGGTAGATGGACGGAAACCATGACATCCGGAAAATGCAGCTGGAGCTCTAATTGATCCACCAATATCACTACCAACACCAATCGATGAACCACCATATGCAACAATCGCACCTTCACCAGATGATGAACCACCTGAACTAAGTAAAAGGTTAAATGGGCATTTAGTTAAGCCAGTGAAATTATTATTAGAATCAAGGTGCATTAATGTTTGTGGTTGTGTAGTTCTAATATAAAAGACAGCACCCAATTTTTCTAAAATCAGAGTGGTTACACCATGAGATTCAGGAACATGAACAATTTTAGAAACATATCCCCCATGAGTGATTTTCCCAGCATAATTCATTTGTTCTTTAAGGGAGATAGGAATACCATGTAATGGACCAACAGTCTTACCGGTATCTTTGAAATATTTATCTCTTTCTTCAGCTTGCTTCAAACCCTCATCAATGAAAATCTGCATGGCACAATTGGTAAATTGTTGTGCCAAGATAGCTCTATGAGCATAGGCTTTAAGCACTTCAACAGATGACAATTCTCCCAGGGCAATCTTTTTTGCCAATTCGGTTGTTGTTAAATCAGTAATTGCAAACTCCTCAGGAGTTAACAATTTCTTAGAGTAGAGATAATCCACAGCATTGAACTGATCTTCGATCAACTCGTCAATTGGTTTTGGCAATTCAACAGTGAGTTCCTTAGGTGTGGCTTTTTCCAAATCAGATCTATACTTTTCTATTTTAGGCAACCATTCTTTGGTGTATTTCTCGTGATCTTCATAGTTATCAAGTGGGTCTTTGGTTAAGAATGATTCAAAAGTAATAGCTTCAGGCATTTTGTGGTATAGGATTAGTTATAAAGTAAAATATAGTCGATAAGAAACAGAAAAAGAAAGTGAAATATTTTGAAAAAAAAAATAAAACAAATATAAAATAAAAGGTATAAAAATTGTGGTGGAGGGGTGAATAGCGGGAAACAATTATCAATTTATAAAATCTAATGTTTTCAAATTGATGTACATTGATTAGAAATTATAAATCCGGCGATAAGAGGTCAATTGCCTAAATAGGAAAGCCGAAGCGACAAAATATCAAGAATTGAAAATTGCGGGAGTGGATAACCTTTGAAGTAAATTTTGGAGGTGGAGAAATCAAAAAAAAAAAAAAAAAAAAAAATTGGCTCGCCTCAATTGTGGGTCGGAGGGGGGGAGGTGGTGGCGCCCGTCCCGCCAGTGATACTTGATACCGAGTAAAATTGCGCATCATTGAGCGCAACTATATAATTTCCTATTTCAGATATTGACGTGTGCGCATCCAATCAAAAATAGTTTGTTGATTTATCGTGTCCCTTTAATAGAACAATTGTATTGCAACAAGTAAACGTTGTACAAAAACAACTTGATAAGGACACATATCAAACAAGATAAAGACATTTCCGAGAAAGTTGGCACATCTATGGGATTTGAGAATCCACAAGCGGGTAAAATTGCCAACATGTTGCAAGATAAATGTTTTGAGAAATTCACAAATGTGGTTCAAGAAAACCCAGGCCAAGTTCTTAGATATGGTGGGCAACCATTATGGTATTCCAGTAAAATCGGACACCCTCCATCAGGTAAAAAATACGAATTACAATTAATGCCAAAAGCCATTATGGATTTAGAAGGGTTGGATGGAGATATTATTGGAGGGATGTCTTGGGGTACCATTGTTGTTTTCACTAGTGAGGACGATTTTATCCCAGAAGAGAACTTCGATAAGAATGATGTTGGTTATGTAGAAGAACTGACTTTTGTGCAATGGGAATAGGTGTTTGTACAGTTTAGTATAAGCGTGGTGGTAGATGGAAACAAACAAGAAACGTCGGGAGTTGTCAATATCATAATGTAGATCTCTGAGAAAAAATTGTTGTTCTGTGATTATAGAACCAAATACATTAGGCGTACAGCATGCTGATTAGTCACGTTATGGCTTATTACGACTACCAGCTGTTCTATACACTCTAAAACAGACATGTGTCTCAGAGGTTGACACTTGACCATGTAGCATTGATGCAGTGCAGCTAGTGCAAATACTACTGTCTATATTTGCAGTCGCAAGAAATAAGGACAACCAAGAATGCTGTAATATACTGACCCGAGAAATACTAGATAATTGACCCAAAAGTAACAGGTCTAAAAGTATTGGGTATTGCTGTTTGCACAGTTTGTTCTTCAACGACTAATTAACTAGATGATTTGAATTACCAGTAGACAAAAATTGGAGTCAATGCACGACCCACTGCTGCATTTCTCACATTGACATTCAAAATTTATGTTTAAGTTAGATTGTCAAAGAGAACTTTGGTCACCTGGAGACGACCCTTAAATAGTAAATAGTAAATAAAAAATAGGAACCAACAGATCCGTCATTCGATATCACCCTCAACTTAGCTTATGATTTTCTCACGCATAGAATATTTTATAATCCTTGATTCTTATATCATCCATAAGTAAAAGAGACAGGGAATACACAAGACCATTTATAGTGTTCGTGGTTACATTTGACAAGCCACTGGCTTTTCATTCTAAGTGTTTCAGAATACACTTAAAAATATCCTAAATATGTACTAGTCAGTACAATGATACGGTTTGTCAAACATCCGTAGTGTAACCATGTGACATCTTCCGTGACCGGTCACTGATAAATATAAGCTTGATGTATTAAATATCAACCCTTATGTACACTAGTTAAGGAGCCGGTGCTAAGTTTGATCCAGTATAGTAGTAGAAGGTCTAAGCCTTCACAAACGTAAATAAGTAAGCTCAAACACAAATATATATGTCAAGCACTGTTGGATTATTTTTCTATTCTCACATCTCTACTGTTTTATTTCGCACTATCATATGACGAAAAGTCCATATTTAGGCTGGCAATATTATTGTTACTAGCGCACGTATAATGTTCATATTATGCGATCTCTATTTGTTCATACTGAAAATGTATGATATATGGTATGAACAAAAAAGGGCAGCTAGTTTGAAAGTATTATTTCCGCTGGTGTGAACATTTTGACTCCATTTACTATGAACAATTAATCTCCCTTACTATAAATTAAATTGTCGCACTAGTATTAATAATTTCTTTGAACTTGGTACGAAATAAAACTGCAACGACTGTAGTTGTTCATTTGTTCGTTCTTGAACACAGCCAAGACAAGGGGATGATCAAATCACCACCCAAAATACACCAACTTGTACAGACAAGAACATCAACATGTACAACACAATATTAAATAATACAATATTAAATAATACAATATTAAATAAAACAAAATATAACATAAAATAATAACAATATAAAAAAACACTACATAGAACAAACATATAAACTACTTGGAGGAAAAATCCTAGTGGAACAAAAAAACCTCCATATATAAATAAAAGAAAAAAAAATCAAACAACCATGGTGTTGTCTCTACTAAATGAAGCATACTTCAGGAATGGATCGTTTTCATTGAGGACATTCTCTTTACCATCACCATTGTTTGCAGCTTTTCTTCTGATGTAGATACGCTTAGCCCACTTCCAGGCTTCGGCAGTGATCCAGAAGAAGACGGTACAAGCAATGGAGAGTCCCCATTCCCAGCCAATCAGCTTGTGCAAGAACACCTTGGTGTTGATCACCGGGATGTAGATAACAGGGAACACAGCAGCAATACCAAACACAATGGACCAGAAAAGGACCTTGTTCTCCCAAAGACCAAGCACGGTTTGTGTGTACCATGGTCTATCGGAGACACGCATGTTGAAAAAAGATTTAGTCGGATGGAGACACTCCAAGGCCAAAATCAATGCACCCCATGTTAAGACCACGAAGGCAGAGGCTCTGCCTTCAAACACCAACCCACAAGCATCGATATTAGCGTTCATCTTGTTACAGCCGTGGCCCAAGTCTCCATTGCCTTTTCCGTAGACCACAATTGTGAAACACAACATGCACGCGCACGCGACTAGCGTGCCGTACACAAACATATCAAGAATCACCTCCCAAGTGAAAATCATGCTATTCGGTGGTCTCTCCAACACCTCATCATCAGCAGGACACATTCCCAACCCAAGGGCCGGTAAAATTGAGGTTACAACAATAACGAATAGACAAGAAACAGGCGACAAAGGGAACACAGAGAAGCCTGTGTTGTCTATGAACGCAAGACCACACATCAAGTAAAGAGCTTGGGCAACATTCTCAGCAAGCAACTGCAACACAAACTTCTGGATGTTGGACGACATACGACGGCCCTCCTCAATGGCATTCAAGATGGAGGCAAAGTTATCGTCCGTAAGAACAATGTCAGAGGCGTCCTTGGCAACATCAGACCCGTTCATACCCATGGCAATACCAACATCGGCCTTCTTCAACGACGGGGAGTCGTTCACACCGTCACCAGTCATGGCAGCAAACTTCTTCCGTCTGTGCAAGGCCTCGATCATTCTGACTTTGGTCTTTGGCGCACAACGCGCAATCACCAACGGCAACACAGGCAAGTTGTCGATCTCCTCGTCAGACAAGGCGTCAAACTCGTTCGCAGTCATCACCATCACCTTCACAATGTCGTCGCTGTAGTGGTACAAGTTTCTCGGCAAGATACCCACCTCTTGTGCAATGGCCTTGGCGGTGCCCGGGTGGTCACCAGTAAGCATGTGCACATTGATACCAGCACCGTGGCACAACTTGACAGAACCAGCAGTCTCCTCTCTTGGAGGATCGTAGATACCAATCAACCCTTGGAAGGTCAAGTGCGACTCCACTTGCTCACGTTCAGAAATATCACTGGACCCAAGTTCCTTAGTAGCAAACGCCAACACCCTCAACCCTTGGGAAGACAAAGCAGCCATATTTTCTTCAATCAATTTGATGTCATCGTCAGTCAATTTAACTAATTTTTGTGAATCGTAGGAACCTTCGGTACGTTCACCATACCAGTAGTCACACAAGCCCAAAACTCTCTCAACAGCACCCTTGGTGTACACCCTGGTCTCGTGTTTGTCCTTGTACACGGCAGACATCCTCTTGATGGACGAGTCAAATGGGAACTCAGCAAGGTGCTCGTAGTTGTGCACGAGCGATTCACGCCCATAGTCCAATCTCGTGGTAAACACCTGGATAGCAATTTCAGTGGCATCACCGTGCGCCTTCCAAACCATCTCCCCAGACTCTTCGTCCTTGGTCTGGCTCACAGTCGCAATGTTGGCCAAGTCAATACTTGTATCAATTCAAATTCGTAAAGTTCATCAATTCTATATATCAATATGAAGAAAGGACCAAGTCGTGTACTTGATCCAATTTTAGTTACAGTTGCGCCAAATCGGGCACGTGATCACGGGACTAAAATGGACTGTTTCAAAAGCATGCAAGACTCAAAGTAAAGTCTTATTTGAGCCATTTTTCTATATTTTCAATGTGAATACATGAATATACGTTTCACATGAATACAAACAATGTTTTTTAATATGTTCACTCCATAGCTAAGTTGTTACAGAAATATGCGTATTTTGCTCAAAATAAGCTCCTGGTGTAGCATCTCAGTTTTATTAAACAAGCGAAAGAGCTACTGGAGATATTAACGCCACAAATTATGATTATCTAAATTTGTCAGAATGTTCACCAAAAGGAAATTCATGAATACTTTGTATTATCAAGAATACACTGTCTTAATGTAATGCAAACTTAAAATTATCACAAAGACAGTATGAGAAGTTATTAATGATACAGTAGTTTATATGCTAGCTTAGGGTGTCATTTTTTAGTTGTTACATACTTCATCATGGTCAGCCTCTTTGGAAAGGCGATTATGTAAGAAATTATTTACTACTTGTACAGCGCTTACGTAAGCGCGATACTATATGTTTCACAAAATTCACTATCAATTTACCACGCTTACTAGTTGGTTGACCCCAACTTTGACTTGAGGTAAATGTCAATCGAATCCTGAATGACTATAAGCATTGGTACTCAAATGGAACAAGAGGAACTAAAGAAAAGTAATTTTTAGTTTCAGACGTGCACGTGGATCGTGTGGATTATTAAAGACATACAAATGTTTAAACACTTTTTTTTTTGTTTTTTCTTGGTTACTGCTGCTACCAGATGTTAATTATATGAATGAGATCATAGATTAATTTCTAATATGGAAAGACTTGTTTATGATTATTGAGTATTCTGGGGAGTATTGTATTAAGTGAAGGAAAGAATTAACGTTCATATTTGATATTTTTTATTTACGAAGGTTATTTTGTCAACGTGATTTATAACTACCCACGTTCTCGTCGAGTCAATTCATAGTTTGGTATTAATGGAGTATTATGTATTTAACCAATTATATGATGATTAGTAAATCAATGAAGGGGGTAGTTGATGATTAAATGGTAAGTACTTGCCCCAAAAATTAAGCAGTATAAAAACAAGGGAAAGCTTCCATGATGAAATCAGAATTTTTGATTTTAGGTATAGTCTATTCAACATCAACTTCTTTCTAAACAAACAAATTTGCTAAGAATGAAATTCTTTGCTATTGCTTTAGCTACTTTTGGTGTTGCTTCTGCTGCCTCTGACAGCTTTCCGTTTTTCAAAAAAGCCACATGTGCTAGTAGTTCCTGTATCAGTGCTGGTCAAGCAATTATAAATAATTGTGGTATTGATGGTTCTTCTGATTATTCATGTCTTTGCAGTGAATTTGAAAGCTCATTTTATCAAGATCTTTATGATTGTGCTAATGATTGTGGAACTCAAAATCTTAATTCGCCTTCTGAATTCCAATCTGTTTATTGTAGACTAGCTTCCGGAACTTCAGGTGGTAGCACTGGTTCTGCAATTGAGACTGAAGTTGACGCTGTCAATTCAGATATTGCAATTACAACTCTAGGATCAAGCACAGCTAGTAGAACCAGTTCCAGTACTGGATCAAGTTCAGGTTCTAGAACTAGTACGATTGGTGAATTGGAAACAAGCAGTGGTACCAGCTCCAATACAGGTGCACCCCAAGCAACTAATGGTGCTTCTACTGGAAATTTTTTCTCCATTATTAGCTTATTTATTGCATTGTTGATTTAATGCAATACATTATCCGTATTGCTTTACATTTATATATTATGTTGTTCATCGTTAATTATACCTATACCGAAGATGTTTAAATCATTTGATATGGGTGCGAAAATAGAATTGTAAAGCAACACAAGTATTAGAAGCTCTGGTGCTTAACCTTGCAGATATTTCTAAACCTCTAATCAGTTTTACTTTCGGATAGATGTGCTATTTTGCTCGAGTAATAGTAAACTTACTCATTGCAGGAAGAATATTTAGAAAATATGAGCCAAATACTAAATATTTCTAACGCAAAATCACTGTCTACTGTAGATTAGCCAGATAATATAACTACATGTGCTAGTCAAGTGACAAATTTTATTTACGGGCATATCACCCACCAAAATCTGGTGGGTGATAGAACCACAAATATAGAATGAGTGATATCATACCGAATGGGTTCTTGGCATTGTATATATACACTATTATTGTCTTTTTTTCTGATCCGATCCGATCTAACCTTATCTCTAATATGATTAAGGTTATGATATATAAAAAATAAAACTGTTTGCCTTCATTCTACTATCTACATGTTCGCAATTATAAACTGAATCTAACATGGTAATATAATAATTTCCCAAGGTTAACGATTTTACTAAAATGATCAAAATCGTTAAAGGTATTGGATACGTGTCAATCAATAATTATCCATGATATTTGAATTGCAATCTAGGTTACAATATCAAGAGTGATCATGAAATAACTTAAAATTAAAGGAAATTCACATCTTCTGGAATAATTCTTGGAATATAGAAGAAACAGCCAATTAGAGATATCTCCATGGTTTTATAAGAATTTGTAATCCTTGTTATATGAATTAGGGGAGGACCACCCTGATGGTATACCTTGGAACAATATAAAAACAGGTTCATGGTTTCAATTTCAAAAACTGAATCCTATGAGTTAATCAACATTTCTACAAGAGCTAATCATGAACAAATTTATTATTTTCTCAATCATCGGTTTGGCTTCCTCATTAGATATCTTTGAATTCATTAACAAAGATATCTGTTCAAGTGATTCATGTGTCACATCAGGTATTACCATGGCTAATATTTGTGGTGAAAAGGGTAGTACAGATTATGAATGTCTTTGTAATAATATGCCAAATTCATTTTATAACGAAATGTTTAACTGTACTCAAAGTTGTGAAATGGAAGATCATTTAGGTGGAGTTTCATCAGGTGCAGAAGTTCAAGAATTCTATTGTGGTTTGCAAAGAGCAAATGCTGAATCTAACGTAGATGCGGCTGGTTCTTCATCCTCTTCTTCTCGTGCTAGTTCTAGTTCTTCGGGTGGCAATGCTAATTCCAATTATTATGTTTCTTTTATTGGTTTAGTGCTTGCTCTGTTGATTTAGACGTTTGATGCCGTCCAAAAGGTGATTTTTAGTTACTTATGAAAAATAATATATTGAAATTTTACAAACTATGTGTTAATATATGATAAAAATGAAAAATGAAACGTTTAGTTTTCAACTGGTTGTTCGGCTTCTTTGACTTGTTCTTTGACTTCTTCTACTTTTTCAGAAACTTGTTCTTTAACTTCTTCAACTTTTTCAACAACTGGTTCTTCAACTTGCTGTTTAACTTCTTCAACCTTTTCAACAACTGGTTCTTCAACTTGCTGTTTGACTTCTTCAACTTTTTCGACAACTGGTTCCTTAGCTTCTTCTACCGCTTCAGCGACTTGTTCTCTAACTTCTTCTACTTTTTCAGCAACTGGTTCTCTAACATCTTCTACTTTTTCAACGACTTGTTCTTTGATTTCTTCGACCTTTTCAGCAACTGGCTCTTCGGCAACAACTTCTTCAACGACTGGAGCAGCTTCTTCTTTAGCTTGTTCCTTGATTTCAGCTTGCTCGGCGTCGTTGCTTGAAGAGTCAACTTCGGCAACTTGAGGAGCATCGTTCTTCTTTGGTGTTTCTTCATCTGGTAATGGAGGAGCTAACTGTTCTTCTTTGATAATTTTTTCTTCTTTGACTTCAGCAGCTGGAGAAGCGTGTGGTTCTTCTTTCTTAGCGGCCTTCTTGTTGCTACCCTTGGTTTGTGCAACGACAGTTTCAGTTGGGGTAGCAAGTTCACTAGATGAAGAAGCTTCAATATTGTTATATTCGGACAATTGACTGAGGAAAGTGTTACAGTCATAATCCCAAGTCTTGAATGGCTTACTTACCAAACATCTGTCTTTGGTCCATGGAGTAGCATAAATCAATGGAGAATAGTAAATGTAGAATACCAAACTAAGAACGGAAGTACCAAGAACAAGGAAGTAACCAAAGTTTTGCAAGGCACGGTTACGGCTGCCTAAGTAACCAACAATAACATCAAAAACATGACCAAGAGCTAAAATACCAAAATACAATGCTGGTTGGTAGTGATGCAAAAATAATTGTCTACCCATAAGGAAGAATGGAGCATAGTGGATAGCCCAACCCAAAGTGTAAGACAACACTTGGGTATTAAAGTTAAAGATGTGCTTGTCAGTAGATAATGGAGTACCCAAGTGGAATTTGAAAACAGTTACAACAGCATAAATGGCAAATCCAGCAACAGACAAAGTAGCAGCCCACCAGGTAACGGCATTACCCAATAAGTAAACTTGTCTGTGTTCTCTGTTCCAATAGTTGATACCTCTCAACAAGAATGGCCATTCAGTTGGGCTGGATTGCCAGTGGTGATGAGAAGTTAAACCTTGGTTAATCTTCCACATTCTTTTGTGAGATTCAACGAATTTTTGCCAAAGAGACAATTTAGGATAGTTGACGATCTTGACTTCTGATTTTGGCAAGTAGCTGTTTTCATTGGTTTCAATGTACCAATGAGTCAAATGACGTTTACCTTGAGATGCAGCAGTAACTTCTTGTTGGCCAAAACCCCAATCTGGTAATTTGACTTCACTAGAGAACAAGTAGTGACCAGTCATGGCATGTCTCAATCTGAAAACGGTATTAAGTGACTTAACAAAAGCTTGAGCATCACCTGGTTGAGATCTGTGGCCGACAATTTCAACAACCCAATCGTCGTTGGCATCACCAGAAAATCCTTCGTAACCATAACAAGAAGCTTCTTTTTGCCAATCACGTTCACTGACTGGTGGTTTTTCATCGTGGGAATGTAATCTTCTACCGGTGTTGATATGCTTTAATCTGATCTTCATACCGTTGATTAATGGAACAAAAGTTTCGTTGTAAACAGTTCCATTGTATGGTTCAATCAACCATTTGTTGTTGGAATCCAAGTGTGGGTACAAAGTGATTTGTTGTTGTTTGGAACCAGTTTTGTAGAAGTGATCGTGGGAGTGCAAGTAGCCACCACGGGTATCCATATGACGAATAGTAACAATAGAACCCAAACCAACTTGTTCAACAATGTTCTTTGGAATCTTGTTACCTTGTAAAGTAGATCTGAAAGCTGGGGTCATGAAAGCACCACCATCACCTTCTTTGTACAACAATTGGAAGTGGACAGCAAAGAAGGCAAGGTATAAAGTCATTGGAACACCCAACAAAATCAAACCTCTTGCAAAGAAATGATGAACGATCTTTTTGGTGTTGACAGATAAATCCCCAATAAGGAACCACATTTGATAAATACATAATAAACCAACCCAAGCAACGGTGAACAAACCAACCCATTTGGAACTCAAGGCCAAACCAAGAGCGATACCTGTGGCAATCAAACTCTTGTACCAGGCAAAAGTAAATGGAACTTTGGATTTCAAATTTCTTCCAGGCATAGACTGCAGCAGCAATGAAGAAAAGCAATGGAGAATCCAACAAAAATGTATCTTGAGATGGTGACATTGAAATTTTCAATAATCAACAAGAAAGAGGTAGCATAGGCAACAATTGGTCTAACACCAGATTGTCTCAAAGTCAAGTAGCACAAAATAACAGTACCAATACCCAATAAAGCTGGGAATTGTCTCATAAAAACGTATGGGGTGGTTTCTGGGAACTTGTCACCAATAGATTTGAAATCAAAATCACCCTTGAAGCCACCAAGGGTACCAACAGCACCAAAAAGCATTTTAGCCAAAGGTGGGTGAACATCCATGAAGAAGGTACCCAAAATATACTTTCTGGCAAAACCACCGAAATGCACTTCATCAAAGACAACTGAATTTGGGTAAGACAATTTGTACATTCTAACATATAAGGCAATGATCAATAATGAAGAAAGCATCCAATATTCTTTGTTGCCAAGCAGTCTTTTCTTAAGAACAGTAGTGGAAGGTTCTGTGACTAAGAATTCACGTACACTACCCTTTTGGAATACAGGATCAACCAATGGATCAATTGTGAGTATATCTTCTTGCTGTCTGCTTCTAATGGCAGCTTGTTTAGCTGCAACTTTCGAAGCAGGTGTGGATACTTTTTTAGCCATGTTGACAATTGAATTGCAAGGTTAAAAAAATATGTGTATGAGGTACAAGTACTTTTGAAATGAATTAACAAACAGTTGTGATTGTTATGAACAGATGTTCTTTAATATCAAAGTCCAATTAGTAGTTGTAAATGGGGAAGGAGGAGGAGGTAAAAGGTTAATTATCTCTGTTGTAAAAGAAGCAATAGAATTGAGGAAAAGGTTGGCTAATAAATCTGAAAAATTTTAAACAGCCTGAGAGAGAGAAAATAAAAAAAGACACACATAGATTTTCCCCTACTAAATTTTCTCGCTTCACTCGTGGTGTAAAAAAAAAAAAAAAAAATGAAAA